AAGGCTGTTGGAAAATGGGCACCTCAGATTTGCCTTCTTAGCACTCTAAGAGGATTGATGGGCTTCGAGGCCATCATCCCCTCAAGATAAATGTCTCTTGTGCTTCCCTTGGACACTCTGAATTCAATTAGTTTAATTAGAAAACAAGTAAAGAGGAATTACCTTAATATAGCTTTGCTCGTAGCAACTCAAAAAAAAAGCCCATTTCTTTGGCAGGAATCCAAGTTTCCCTCTTTCATTTACATATTCTGGGATAATGATGTAAATGTTCCATTTTGTCGGCAAAAAGGTAGACATGTCTTATCGAATAGACCATATGTTAGTTTTAATAATACTTTCCGATATCTCCATTCTTTAATGAAGTAGGAGCGCTGGTGTGTTAATAAAATATTTAAAAACCATTAATGGGGAGAGCTGGGAGAATGCCCTGACTTTTTGTGTTTATTCATTTCTGTGCTGGAAATACTTCTACTATGGCTGATTTCAAGCTACTAATGTGACGTCACTGAACGCAGAGCTGGAAAGAGGTGCTAACCATTGGTTCTCACAGCCAGTAACAGGTGATCGCAGCACACCAGTGGGTAGGAATATCAGCTGTTTGCCAAAATGCCCCGCAAATACATTGCCAAGCAATTTGTTTTCTCTTACGTAGAGGCTACTTGGATTGGAACCAACTGCAAAAGCAAGCTCAGGATTATGGTAATTGGGTTGGTAAATAATTGGAGGGTCCTGTGAAGAGTAACTTCATTGTGTTTGTACGACAAACATATTCCTCTGATTGCACACACAGACTCACTCTAAATCCAAGCCTGAGACATCCAAGCGTAGGATCCAGAGAGCTCAGCACAGCAGCGCCAAAGCCACAGCAGCCTCATGGAGAGAAAGGGAGTCCCAGCCCTGCCACAGACGTTCTGTTCCATCTTAACTTATCCCTTGACTTCTCTGGGCCTTCATTTTTCACATCTGCAAAAGAAAGGTGGAGGCTAGACGTGAGAGAGCAGGAAAGATACCACCAAGAGTCCCCCTTGTACATCTTAAACATACGATCCTCTGAAATAACAGAAAACTAAATCAGAGACTAGTTTTATGATGTTGTTTCCCAAAATATCGTAATTGGGAAACAGTGGGAATGCCAAAGGAGGAGGGGCCTCTTGCTAATTACTGGATGGTCTGCTGAGAGCTGTGGCCCCTGTTCTCCCACAAAAAGAAGTCTTTCAAACGGTCTTCCTGGGAAACACAAGCGCTCCCCACAGCCCTCAGTTTCATCTTGTGATCAGATGAGATGTCTGTTTCCACATGCCCATCCGAGAGGGTTCTCAGTTCAGCCAGAAATGCCTATACAGTCCCATCTCTTCACTGATTTATGTACTTTAGCCACAGCCATGAGATGGGGTTATTATTCACTGCAATATCCTTAAATCAACAATTACTTCAATTTAGTCTGAAAATACTAGAGAATATTCAGACTGTCATACGGACTCATAAATTGGTGCATAGGAAGTGTGTTTATCGTTTGTGACAATGTTATAAAGTGGTCCAGGATTTTCATTATTAGTTGTCTATTTGTAAAAATGGTGTTTTTGATAAGCATCTCAAGAACATTTTGCGGCTATGCCTTCTGTGACGCTTTTTAAGTAGGAAAATGTTTCATCGATTGGGAAGATTTGGTAGTGAGAGATGAACAAGCATAATGTATTTTATCCCTGGACTCAATGTCAGTATTGAAGACAGAGGTTAGCTATTGAAATTTTTTTTTTGAAACCATTGTCAGTAAGTTACATACCTTGCCCATGGCATACAAAAAAAAGTATAATATAAGGAAGAATTCATAACATCAAAGGCAGACATGATAGAGGCTTTAAAACATATTATTTACAAACCACTTAGAAGGACTTGGAACTCTGAGAACAGAGAGAGAATTCCCTGAGCTTTAGAAGACAGCCTTGGGAAATTGAATGGTATAGTTTTTTTTTAAGCATATCTGTCATCATGATAATTGACCAAATAAATAATAGACTGCCCATCATACCCTTTTCCTTCCCACATCACTCAAAATCCAACCCATATTATCCCTGTATCCTTGGACTCCCAAATTTTCTTACTTTATCTCCTAGTTCTCTTAAAGCCACAGGAGAACTAATAGTGCAGATCACACCACACTGGGAGGTAGAAACATAGTGCTTAGATGGATGCATTTCTGAAAAAACACTTGGTTCAAGTCCTGGCTCCACCTGAAAACAGCTGTGCAACTTTTGGCAAGTAACTTGACCTCTCTGTGTCTCGGATTCCTTATCTGAGTGCAGATAATAACAGTGTCTACCTTGTAGAGTTATTGTGAGGACTAATTAGGTAATTCATGTAAAGTACTAGAAAGGGTTCCTGCTGGGCCTAGAGTTAGTATTGTATAAATAACAATAACTGTTGAATATAGTTTTTAGCTCTAGCCAGTGGAATTTCTTGAACTTGAGTGTGTGTGTGTGTGTGTGTGTGTGTGTGTGTGTGTGTGTGTGTGTGTAGGGAGAGAGAGAGAGAGAGAGAGAGAGAGAGAGAGAGAGAGAGAGGGAGAGAGAGAGATGATTATATGAGTTGTGTTTTATTTTGGCTAAAACTAAAGTTAAGTTGCCTTTTCTGCAAAACATGGATCAGCTAGTGGGAGGGGGTGTGCTATGACACAAGTGGAGTTACTCCAGGATCAAACTACATCTACTAAGGGTCTACATGCAACCAAGCTGTTTTACACGTAGGCCCTTACACAGACATTCTTCGTCCAAGCCTAAAACATCTCTTCAAGGGGAAATTACTAGAATGGCATGAGCTCAGTCTGTGAACATGCCCCCTGCCCACCCAGTGCACAGGGAACTCATTCTATAGACGCCCATTTCTCTCAGGAGTGCTGAGGGTGAAGCAGCCCACCCAGAATACCCCAAAATGGGACCTCCTGCATACACCCAACAGAAAAGAGCCACTTTCTGCTACAACTTCACCTAATTGCTGCGTATTTTTCGATTTTGTTTTGATAGGCTTGACCAGTCCCTATCCTCTTTCTCCCCCAAATCTCTCTCCCAACTTCAGTTTAGTAGTTCTGAATTGCCCTTCCCACAGCACACAGGGCCTCCCTAAGACACCCCTCAGGCCCCAGTCACCCCTCTCTCCTCACTTCTGGAAAAGTTTCTCCAAGTCATGCTGGGTTTCAAGGGGCTTTAGCGGCGGCTCAGTTCAGCCCGCATGAGGGGTGGGGGTGGGGGTGGGGGGGCAGCTCCTGAGAAGGAGTTTTCTTTGATCCACCTAATGAATTAATGAATTAACCAGAGGTGGAGTTCAGAAGCCAGGCTCCTTCCTTTTGCTGAAGCTGGGCTGATTAGGAGCTGGCGTAACTGCTGGAAACTCGCTGCTTCTTGCTAGAAGAATTAGGGACATGGCCCAGTCCATTCATCTGCCCTAATCGAGTTCTTGGGAAATACACATGTAGATTAGCCCCTAACAATGACCCCCGCTGATTGCTTGGAGTACCCTCCACCGTGCCCACAATAGTCGTGACTAGCGCTTTATGCTGTGCACAAAGGAAGCCCCAACCTCCCCTTGTCTTGCTTTGCCCTGTTTCCCCCTAGTCCCTCACCAGTGGCTGTTGAAGTCTTTTCTGCTTTTCTCCGGAGACTCTGAAATAAACAGTAAATAAAAGCTCACCTCACCTGGACCTATTAGGGAGAGCTGGGCATTTCCAGAGGGAATTAACTTTGGAAAACAAGGCCAAGTAAGCCCCTTAGCGTGTGGGCAGGAGCTTAAGAAAAACGCTGCCAATCTTTGTTTAGCGGCGATTATAGAGATCAATTTAATATTGGGGAAATTTACATAAAAAGCATTCTCAGTCAGAGGGGAAACACCAATTAATTATCCCTAAGGCTGCCCTCTCGTCACCAAGTCATCGGTACCCCAGCTACCTGGTCTATGTCACTGGTACGTGGGACCTTGTGAGCTGCCACCAGGCTGAATGCCGAGCAATGCCTTTAACAGCCTCAAAAGCCTGAGCAGAGCCTGGGGGCAAGGTTTTTCACCTGGACTGTGGGGGAACCTCCCCTGGGTTTGTTCAGTCCTCCCTGACGGCCCAAAGGCCTCTCTCTACAGACTCGGACTTGGTGTCTTTCTACCTCAGCCTCTTAGATGCAGGGGTCAGTCTCTGGGAAGAATGCAGGCTAAGATGTGCTTTCTTTTCCAAACATCACCCTCAACAATGATAATTACAAATGAGCTGCAGCCAGAAAGAACTGGACAAGGAGTCAGAGGATCTGAGTTCTAGTCCAGACCCTCCCACTTAATAGCTGTATCATTTTGAGCCTCAGTTTCCTCTTCTATAAGATGGGGACAAATACATTTGTCCTGCTCACCTCCCAGGGTTGTGGGGATCAGATGATGGGCAGAACATGAAAGGATTCTGATTATTATAAAGTGATCTGCAAACACAGTAAAGCACATATGGGTTTTCATTAACTTAGCGTTTTCTTAAATTTAAAAATAATTTAAATTGAACAAGCAGCTCACTTTCCATCTGCTGCAAACTCACATCCTTGTTATTTTAATTGACTTTTTATGGTTGTATTAAAAATAGAGTGGTTTGTCTAATGGCCTCCCGACCATGTGCCCATCACAGAGAATTAACCATTTAAAGATCCTTAGCATAGTCACATGTCCTTTTTAATGTCCTTCTAACATCACTTTAAAGGTGGAGGACCCAAAGATATGTGTTTTTCTCTTGTTTCTTCCTTTGTCTTGTCTCCCAGGCTGGATCTTAAGCTCTTCAAGGCCAGTGCCCCGGCCTTCCCTTTCTTTTGTGAGGCTGACACGGCCCATGTCAGAGCTGGGTCCTCAGAAAGAACGCAGTAAACGCTTTTCTGAATGCAAAGAGGAATAAACAAACGGGCGTGGAGATCAAGGCGCCTGCTGCAAAGATTTGGAGAATCTCTAGGTCCTTTCCTAAAAGTCCTAGACTTTTAGGGAAGCATTTCAGTTCAGCAAAGGCCGGGCACTCGCCTCAGGTGCCAGCGGCCACACTGTTCACAGCACTGGGGGATGTGCAAAACACACTCGCCCGTAGAAATCATCTTTCACTCTGGGCCACGAAAGCCTCGAGGGGCCCCCCAAGGGGAAAGAAATGCAAGCTCATTACGCCTGTAACCCCCGGAGAAGTACGAGGCACCCCGTCGTTCCCCAGTCCGCCTGAGGTTGGGTCATCTCGTCCATCTGCAGAGTTGTTTGGTGGGGTGGGGTGGGGTGGGGCGCAGGAGGTTCCCGCAGGACCCAGTCTGAGAGAGTGAGGAACCCTAGTGTGTCTCCCACCGGGCCTCAGCCTGGCAGCAGGTCCAATTCGGGGCGTCCCAGCCTCCTGCTGGGCAGTCGGGCACTTGAGGTCACCGGACCTGTGGTTACAGATGGCCCCACTGCCTCCTGGAGGGACAGAGAGGAATGATAAAAACAGACAAACAAAATAAGCCAAAGTCCGGGGGCTTCGGACTACGTAGCCCAACGAGGAATGCCCGAAGGTGTAAACAGAAGAACAGAGAGTGGGGAATTCAAAGTGGGAAGAAGGGTAGACTGACTTCCAACGCCGCGGAGCCAATAAGCCTTCCCCAGGGTCGCCCGGGGCGCTCAGCCCGAAGGAGGACGCAAGCCGGGGAGCAGAAGCGAGTCCGGGGCGAGGTGCAGGGGAAGGTGAGCCCCAGAAGACAGGAAAGTCCGCGGGGTCGAAGAGAAGAAAGGCGTCAGCCCCACTGAGGCAGTACTGGGAGGCGAGGACCGCGGACACGGACCCCCCGGCCTGTCGACCCCCCGCCGCCGGCCCCCGGTGTGTGTCTGGAGTGTTTGCAACGGATCGAAAGCGGGGAGTGGAATGTTCGGAGCGCTGCCCCTGCCCGGGGTAGCGGCGACAGGACCCCGAGGCCGACGAGGGAAAGACCCGCCCCGCTGCGGGGGGGAGGTCGAGGGGGAAGAGGCTGGGTCCGGGGCCCGAGGGGAGGAGCCGGGGTGAGCCGGCTCGCAGGCTTTAGCACCCCGAGCCCCAGCTCCCGGGAGTCGGAACTTCCGACTCCGGCGCTGACCCAGGCAGCTACGGGCCGAGAGCTTGCCCAAACCCAGCGCGCGCAGCCGGGGCCAGGGGCGCCCTTCGAGCTTGACCTGGGGTCGGAACCCCTCGGGTTGGACGGCCGCCCCGGGCGAACCTCTTCTCTTTCTCCAAAGCAGGCGGCGCTGCCAGCCTCCCGCCCTCCGCATGCACCTGCCGGGCTGCGCCCCCGCCATGGCCGACGCCAGCTTCTCGCTCGCCGGCCACCTGCTCCGAAGTCCTGGCGGGAGCACCTCGCGGCTGCACAGCATCGAAGCCATCCTGGGATTTACCAAGGACGACGGGCTCCTGGGCTCCTTCCAGGCGGAGCCGGGCGCCCGGGGCTCGAAGGAGCGGGATCGGAGGCCGGGCGCGCGGGCCACCTGCTCCAAGGCGCCGGGGGGAGGTGTCGAGCCCGCCCCGGCGCCCGCTCCAGAGTACGAAGGTGAGTGCACACTGCTGGCGGCTGCGAGGCTCTAGAGGGCCCACACTTAGGCGTTCTGCAAGAGGAGCGAGCCCTTCCTTAACTTTTACCAAGGCGCCTGGGCGCGGAGTTGGGCGCTGTGCGTATATAAGGTTCCAACTTGCATTCAGAGAAAGCGTAGGTGGCCCTCGCAGCCCTCACCCCGACCTCCGCGACCCATCTCCGAGCCTGCATCCGGCTGCCAGTGTCCAGGGGTGGGCGGGATGTTCCCAGCTACACTCCGGGGCGTATCTCTGACCTGACCATCGGGGACCCCGTTGTCCCAGCCCCTCGTCCCTACTGCCCCAAGGAGCCCGAGGAGACGCGGCCGAGCCCTGGGTTGCCTGTCGGGCCCGCCTCCGGCGATGCGAAGCTATCCGAGGAGGATCAGCCCAAGAAGAAACACCGACGGAACCGGACGACCTTCACCACGTACCAGCTGCACGAGCTGGAGCGCGCGTTCGAGAAGTCCCACTACCCCGATGTGTACAGCCGCGAGGAACTGGCTGGCAAGGTCAACCTACCCGAGGTCCGGGTCCAGGTAAAGCGCCCAGATCGGTCCCCGGGAGAGTCCTAGGCCCCAGCTGGAGCCAATGCTCCCTTGAATCCTCGGGCGTCCACGCATTTATGATGGCACTTTAACCCGGTGACCTTCCTCGACTTGTCTGGCCCAGAGCCTCCAACGAAGCGTCACAGATCTTCCATATGCCCCCCTCCACACAACACACACACACACACACCGCCCTTCGGACATTCTGTTCCATTTGTAGTATCATCTTCCCTTTGGGGTCCCCCTCTTCTGCGCTAAAGAGAAGTGGGAATAACTTGCAAGGTGATGAGACGACAGACAGCTCATTAGCTACAGTCAGGATTGGGGCAGGTAGAAAGGGAAGGTAGGCTGCAGTTGAGGGTAACTGGATTGGGGCCCCAAATGCCACCCTAGTTCACTAGCTGCGTGCACTGTGATTAAAAGGAAAACCCTGTCTTCTTGCGAGGGGCCTGGCGCCTGGCAGTTGAAACTTTGGATGGATTTGTTTAAGAAGCTGACTTTTGCTTCTCTGGTGCACATCCAACCAAACTTCCTGCTGCTGCAGAGGCCTTTTCTTTGTGTTGTAAAGGGTTTTTCGCTTTAATTAAAGCTGAATTATCTTTAATCCCTGATCATTAAAATATTTGAAAGCCTTAAATATTTGCTAGTCATCTGTGAAAAATCTGGGAGGATTTCCAAATTGGGAAAATTTACAGAGTCCCAAAAGGGAGTCGTTGGGAACAAATTTCACTGCATCTGAAAGGCAGTGGAACTAAGATGGGATTTTTGTCTGATTTCCAGGAAGTGAGATACTCAGATGTTTGGGGGCTTTTAGCCTTGTCTTAAAAGTAAAAGGGGACAAGTTCTTGCCTTTGTCTCTTCTGCTTAGTTTGAGCATTTTAAGTAATGAGCAAATGTCATGGTTTGAAAATATAGTTCCCTAATGTAACTCAGGATTAACTGTCAAGGACAGTTCAATTTCTCTGAATTCAGGGCAGTAATGCTGCAATGATTCCATTGAAGGGGTAGACAAATTAGCACTTGCTTTTCAGGGAGGGAGACTGGGGTAGGAAGAGAAAAAACATACAAGGGAACGATGATGAAGAAAGTGGACACAAGGCTTCCAGCGCCCCTGCAGAATACAGGCACAGCCAGCTCAGGGGCTGGCTTCATACCTGGTGCCACCTCTGTCCCACCTTCCTTCCTCCCTCTTTACTTGTTCAAGGATTTGGGTTTCTCCTCTAAGTTGTAAGCTTCTTGAGAACAGTGTCTGTGAATTCTCTGTGACCACAGGGCCAGCACCGTGCCCAGCATATGACCAGTTCTTACCACACAGCTATGATGTCATCAGATGAAGGGGAGCGAGGCAGGGTCTCCAGCTGTGTTGAGGGCAGCAGTATAAGATCTGACTATCCCAGTGTTTAGCCCTCTGACTCTGGATACTAGATCCAAAGACTAGAGCTAATATTTTTGGGGATGGAGTGAGACATGCAGAGGAATAGAGGAGGCAGGGAATGAGAGCCCTCACAGTAGCCAGTATTTTCTCTTTCTCTATTATCAACAAATACCTAATGTTTCTGGGAAAATCAGGGCCTCACATAGGTAGATGATTCTTTTGTGGGAAGAGGGCAGGGGAACTTACATTTTTGTTTTTTCTCTACCTCCCGCCCCCCTCCCCTCCCCCCAATCCCATCTTACACACACTTGCGCTGCCGGGCTCAGGTGGTGGGTGGCTCTTTTCCCAGCAACCTTAGGAAGTCCCCCAGTCTTATTTTCTCAGAACTACTTTCTCCCTTCTGAAGTCACAACTATTCTCCTATTTCCCTTCATAGATGTAATACTGAAGCCACCAGTCTGGCCAAAGTTCTTTCCAGATTCTCCACTAAACTAGGCCAATTCCTCCTGTTCTTTTCCCAAGGGTGGTAATGTGGTGCTGGAACCCTGACTACTTTCTTGTACTTTTATCAAATCAGTGATGGCAGTTTCATCGTTAGACACCAGACTTCTGTCTGGCATGGACTTTCTATATGTAAACAAAAACTTGAACTCATTGAATTCATCGCAGGGTAATGTCAGAACTAACTCCATACAGTAAAAGTAGATAGAATAAACTTGAAGTATTGTAATCGTTGAACACTATGTATAAGAAATATCAGAAATCCTGAACGGATATCAGTTAAATAAAAACGAAAATCTTATTAAAGCAGCAATTCAAATATGCTTGGGCTACAACAAACCCCCTTTCTTCTATTATCATAACCAGAAATTCGTGGAAATAGCTGTGTTTTAACATCCAGTGTTGCCAGGTGCAGTACTTAGAGTGTTTGTTTGTACATGTTTATCACCGAGACAAAAGGTACGTAAAGTACAGAAAGTCTGAGACAATAGCGTGGCCACTGAGAGCTGTACCACACACACAAGGAGGAAGCAGTCTGAACGGATGTCAGGATGGGCAGCCAACCAGCAGGTCACAGAACCTTGGTGAGATCTAGTTTTGAAAGTCCTACGGTCTGAGCCCAGGGCTATCTTCGCTTTTTTCTGAGCACCTGCTGCGTGCCAGGATCTGGAAACAGACAGAACCACAGCTATGGATGAGATACACAGGGACAAGGGTGGAAACGCCATAGGACAAGGATGGGACAAACAGACACAGAGGAAACGACAGAAAGAGAGAGGGAAGCAACAAACAAGAGAAAACTGGACAGGAAAGAATGGATAATGCGGTGGGGGGGGGTGCTGAGCGAAAGGAGCAGGTGAGAAATAGTTGAACCCAGTTTCACTTGGGGATGGGCGAGTCGAGCTGGGCGGGCTGCAGCCCGACGGCCGCTGTGCTGCCTTCCGCAGGTGTGGTTCCAGAACCGACGGGCCAAGTGGCGGCGGCAGGAGAAGCTAGAGGTGTCGTCCGTGAAGCTGCAGGACTCGCCCCTCCTCTCCTTCAGCCGCTC